CACAGGAGCTCACCCTGTCCCGCGGAGCTGGGCCCGAACCGCTGGAGAGCCAATCATTTCTGACCGGCAACTCCCGCGTCATTAAGCTCTTGTGCCACTGCAGTATATGTCAGCAGACCCAACCTGAGGATAAAATGCTGGTGAAGCAATATGTAAGCTGCTGATCTTCACCTTTGCAAACTATTTTTATGAGTTTTTATCCCTTTCTGTGAACCCTGGCTTTTCCTCACAAACGGACTGTGTGTAGAGTCCAACCTTAACAGTTCACTCTCTCCAATTGTCAAGAATCAGATTCAGTCTTCCACATGCTGTACACTAAGGAAAAAAAAAATGACCAAACGGAGTGGAGTGGGGAGCCAGTTAAGAACAAAGATGGTGTATAAACAAATATTGAATATAGTAAGTAAATGAATTTAAAATATGTTGCTGCTAGCAGTGACCATTCACATGCTTTTGTCCAGGGAAATAATTTTTTAACAGACAAGGAAAATGTATTGTCGAAGGCAAGGAAAACACTTTCTTGCACTGCAGTACTGCCTCCCCCTACCTTAACGCTGAAGATAAATCATTCTGAACCAACCTGTGTGTCTGTCTACAGTACTTGGGTCTTAGTTTGGCTGGTGCTGTCTTCAAAGGGAAAAGGAAAGAGCCTCAGTTCAGCTGAAGAAGGAAGCAAGAAGCAAAGGAAAACCATAAGTCTTGATTTAAAGATGAAGATCATCAAAGTGCATGATGAGGGGAAGAAGGTGACTATTATGGCACAAGAAGAAGGGCTGGCTCATTCCACCATCTCCACTATTCTGAAGGATAAGGAAAGGATCAGAGAGGAGGTAGAAGGAGCACCAGGAATGGATACAGTTATAACAAGACACTGAACAGGGCTCATCCATGAAAAAGAGAAACTACTTATACTTTGGATTGAAGATCAAATACAAAAGAGGATTCCAATTAGCCTTCTTCTCTTCCAGGCTAAGGCATGCAGCATGTTCACAACGCTGAAGGAAAGAGTAGGTGAGGAGAGCACTGAAATATTCATGGCCAGCTGTGGCTGGTTTATGCAGTTTCAGCAAAGATTTCATTACCACAACATACATACATCAGGTGAAGCCACAAGCACTGATGAAGGAATTGATGAATTTCTTCAACTGCTGACTTGATGAAATTGTAACAGAAGGGAACTATTTGCCTGAACAGATATTCAATGTGAATGAAACTGGGTTATTCTGGAAAAAATACCAGAGCAGACCTACATACACAAAGAGGCCAAAGCAATGCCTGGCTATAAAGCGCTCAAGGACAGAATAACCTTGTTGTTGGGCGGAAATGTCTCTGGATTCAAGCTGAAGCCATTTCTGATCCACAAAACAGAGAACATAGGCAAGCATACTCTACCCATTTATTAGTGATCCAGTCAAAAGCCTTGGATGATGCCAGTCCTCTTCAAGGATTGGTTTATGAGTTGTTTTATATCCCAAGTAAAGAATATTGCTTGGAAAGAATTCCTTTTAAAATTCTCCTGCTCCTTGACAGTGCACCTGGACACCCCCCCACATCCTGGCAGTCTCTGCTCAGATGTAAAGGTAGTTTATCCACCCAAAAACATCACCCCTCTCCTTCAGCCTATGGACCAGAGAGCTATCACAACATTCAAGGCCTACCATTTGCATGCAATGTTTGCCAAAGCCATAGCTGCAATGGAGAATGAGAAGTAATATTGCATGACTTTTGGAAAGGCCACAGTGTCCTCCATTGCATCAAAAACATTGCAGCAGTATGGCAGGATGTCCCTGCAAAATGCATGCAAAGGATTTGGCAAAACTGTTTAAAATGTTTTGCTGCTCTTGTAAATAATTTTGAAGGATCCGACCATAATGAAGATTTGCATGAAATAAATCAGAACATTTTGACACTCATGGAATCCTTTGATTTAGATCCACATGCTGAGGATGTGAAACATTTGATAGCCTACACTGAGGGAGAACTTTCAAACAATGATTTAATTGAACTGCAAGAATTGGAAGGACGAGGGGTTGTGGGGGAAGAAGAAGAGGAAGAAACAAGATTTCGAAGGAGGAGGAGAAAATATAGAAGTTCAGGCCAAAAAATTCACTATGAAAGGATTGGCTGATGTTTTCTCGGACATTAATAAAAGTTTATCACAATTAGAAAGCATGAATCGAAATGTGCAACGTTTTGGAAAAGTACTCTGAAAAATTGGTGACATCTTAAAGTGTTATCATGAAATATATGAAGAAAAAAGGGGGAAAAAACATGCGAACTACACTTAGTGGGTTCTTTAGGAAAGTTATTCCTTCCTCAACTCTTCTTCCCTCCCCATCCACAGGAACTGAAGACCCAGTTGATCCTCAGCCATCACCAGCTATGCCAGCGAATCCAAAGTTACCCAAGACACTGAAAAAGACACTTACTGTATTGATGTTTATAGGAACTGTAAAATCTGACTTTGCACTCTTTTTTATTTTTGTACTGTAATGCCTATAATAATAATGCTGTAATGCCTGCAATAATAATATTTATGTTACATATTGTTATGTTATATATTATGTTATTAAAGTATTATGCTCTTAAAGATGTTTTATAATATTAAAAATTTTCAGTTCATTGAAGGATAACAGAAATTGATTACTGAATTAAAGATGGTTTAAGGGGGGAAAGTGTTCTCTCCATGTTCTCTGGTGCCCCACAGAGAAGTCTAGAATTTCCAGCCCTTCTGTATTGAAATTCTAGTCCCAATGTAGCTGAGAGGCATCTGGTTAGGAGAAGCTGATTTATTGGTTTGATTTACATCAGTGTAACAGACCACTGTACTATTCACAATGACTTTTTAAACCATTTTTCCACATTGCTTAAAATATGCATAATTTTTATACAGTATTGTACAGTACTGAAAATCACAGTTACTCTGGTTTTGCTCCTTACATTTTAGATTTTAGATTAACGTTTCACTAAACCATCTGTAAACTCAGGTATTTTTTATTTATAAACTATGGTTTATGGTTTAACATGTGTAATTCAGCCGGTTACACCTCATTTAACAAATCATGTTCAGAACAAACCATGCTTAGTAAATACAGCCAACGTATATCCCCTTGGTGATATCCTAAATAAACTTTCAAATTTATTTGAAATCAATCATTTCCTATTTTTTTCTGGTGTCACAGCTACCTAGTGGAAAGAAGGATGAGTAGGCATAGGCAGGGCATTACCCAGGTTGCTAATACTGTATTTTAGATTGCAGCCACAAAGTTTCTTAATTAATAATTGTGCTGTTTAACTCAGCCACTTTCGGGGCGAGTCGTCCTCCTTGGGGAACTGTTCATTTTTCTGTGGTTCATTACAGTACAGTATATGGAAATCATGAAGCTGTTCACTTGCAATTCCAAACATGTCAGTTGACGTGTGGATAATATTCCCCAGTACTGTATGTCACAACAGTCTTGGCTGTAATTATTTAAGCACTGTCCTCAGTGTACTGTATGAATGACTCAGAAGTCCTGTTCAATTCAAGGGTGGGCTAAGTCCATGTAAATGCTGTTTGCAATCTAATTTGGGCATCACATTGACTCCAACAAAACATTTTTCTCATACCAAAGGAGGGAAAATGTTCCTTAGAAGCATTCTGGATGTGAGGGAGTGTTTTATTAATCTCTTGTAAAAACATAACACTCTAGGAAAAAATGCAAGTATTATGCACACTGTTAAAAACAACAACACAGTACAGTACTGTAATCCATTTTATATGTACATAACACCAACAATTAGAATAGTTTCATTAACATGCACTCACATTACTCTTATACGGTTCATGGAAATAGAGTTCCATGAACCAAGACAATTTGGGAACCTCTGCATTAGAGTACAGTAATATAAATTAGACATTAACAGATCATGGATCCAGGTAGATTTATGTTTGACATACCACCATAACCTGGTAAAGGGGATTCTGTGCAACAGAAGGCATCACATATCAATTAGAGCTTATTACCAAAATAAAACTGTAATCAGAATTGCCAGTAAAAAGCAATAGCTGGCAATGCTTGGGTTTGGGAGATCTAAGTAAGTGCCCTGTGATGGCTTTTTCCAGCTAGCCTTACATTAGCAACTGCAATTTCTCACCTTACACAGTACTGAATTTAATCTTAGATACAGGTTTTTTTTAAAGACAATCTTTTGCTGATGAAATATACTTCCCCTGCTCCCACTATGAAGAAGAATGGTACCTCTGCACCACCAAAAGAAATGTTTCTTCTGTTAATTCGTATACAAGACACCCTAATTTAGGGATGGGCTATCCTTTGTCAATCCTCGTTTCTCTCCTAGCTGTGGCTTATTTACAGTACTTTAAAGGGAAAAAAAGGGATTATTTTTTGTGGCTTCAGATGATAATGCAAGCTTTTTAAAAAAAAACAAACTTCAAGTCAGTCTTGACTCCTGGTAACTACCTGGACAAGTACCTTGGCAACACTTTTTGGAAGTGGCTTGCCAGTGCCTTCTTCCTAGAGCTGATGGAGATGACTGGCCCAAATTCACCTAAGTGGCTTATGTGCCTAAGGCAGGACTTGAACTCATGGTCTCCTGGTTTCTAGCCTGGTACCTTCAGTCACTACAGTACACCAAATGGAAAACAAGCCAACACACCATTTTAAATTAAATGCCTTCATGCTGAATCACCAAGAGTACAGCTATTGAAATCTGAGCCTGTAAGTGCAAATAATTTTCCTGGGCACGTTTGGCTATATGGCACAGGTTCACAGCCTATCTTATAGTTTCAACCATATGTAGTAATCTCAGATGCCTTTCTGAGGTTTCCTTCTTATCTCATTATATTGCACGTTACAGCACAATTCTAATATTCTCCTTAAAGAACCAGGCTAAATTGGAAATGCTTCTGTGGCTAGTATTATTTTGAGTTAATATTAGTGGTTGATTATTAAAAACATTTAAGGTCTTCATTGGAATCTTTGTTCTAGTAAGTTTAAAGCAAAGGTACAGCTATTAACTTTTTTTTTCCTGCTGTAGTAAACTCTGCATCTTTTGTTATATAAATCTGATTTTTATTAATGTATTAATTTAAACTATTTGGAGGAAAACATATCACTATCACACTCCTCCCCCCCCACCCCCGGTACTGTACCTGTTGTTTCACTTAACGATGGAAGGAAAATTACAAGCCCCAGTTATGATTCGCTTAACTACCACAGCAAAAAAAGGTGGTAAAATTGGATGTGGTCATGTGATGCCTCACAATGATCATACCACTTAACAACAAATTTTCCAGTCCTTCTTGTGGTCATAAGTCGAGGACTACTTGCAGCACAAAAAGAAAATGTGATGGCAAAGGAGGAGGAGTAAGCCAAACTTGGGTACCAGTTCTTGAGATTATAAAATTCTTAAATATGATCAAAACTCTTATACAGTGGAACCTCAGTTTACGAACTTAATTCGTTCCGTGACTCTGGTCGCACCGCGAATTGGTCGCAACCTGAAGCAAATTTCCCCATAAGGTTCAATGTAATTACCGTTAATCCGTTCTGGTGTGG